AAAAGCAAAAATGTTTCATACTCAACAATCACTATGGAAGAAATATTTATAAGCAATAACTTTAATAAAATGTTTCCACTGACAATTATTTACTTTCTTATTTAGTTTTATAATTCAGATGAAAAGAAGTTGCATTTTGTATATTTTTATTACAAAAACTAATTGGAAATTTAACAGAAAGATATTTGCTCTATTATTATATCTTGTGTTTAAAAACATAATATTGTATGTATACAACGTATTCCTCAATTACCAATGAAGAATCCAGAAACTGTTGAATAAATTGAAATCTATTACATAATTAGTAGAGTTGTAAGTAATGAAATTTTGAGGTCAATATGAAACCATAGGTTTCCCAAAAATGTCTGGTTATATTAAACTATTTGGCACATTCTAACAGATTCTCTTATGCAATAAAAACATATCACCAAAAGGCAGAGATGCCATGTTGAATAATTTCAATTGGTACCACTAATATCATAATCTATTAAATATTTCTTCTGTAGTGGTATATCATATAATATATGCAACCTTATATTGTGTCCATATGCAATTGTCTTCACTATTCTGGGCCTTATTGATTAAAATTGCATGTTTTGAAGCTTAAATTTGTATTTAAAATTTCCACTGAATGTGCACATTAAATTAGATTTTGTGATAAACATATGAGACTTTCTTTTTCTCCACAAGCCTCACAACACACCAGGGAATATAGCTCATTATAAGTATTAATCATTACTCAGTAAGAATCATTGATGTACTCATTTTTCTAAAATCGTGGTTGTCAGTATTGTAATTATCAATATATTAACAAATTAATTTAATATGGACTGTGCTTTAAATATTTAAAAAGCTAAAATATAAAAATATTACATGAAAAATATTAAATATCTGTATTCAAAGATGCGATGCCAAGGAGGGATAAACTGATATGACCTACAGAACTCAGTCAAGTCCTCAGGATTTTAGGAGGAAGGGAAAACATAGTTTTCTCTCTCATCTTAATACAAGATGGTCTGTTATCTAGAAAAGTTGAACCAAAGAAGCTTTAGACTCTGATATTCTCACATGAGTGTGGAGCTGATGTCCTGGATGAAAGATGTGGAGAGTATCTGCACCTGACACAAGCAGATTTTCCACAGAACCATCGTCACCAAAGATGTTGATAATACTGTACAACCTCTAAATCATATCTACGTGCAGCTGACGTTTTGCAGACCTTTGCTATGGGGACATGAGAAACCCATGTCGTCATGATGCTTGAAAAGCCCTGCCTTTCCAAACCAAACCTAGTGCGGTTTCCTTCTCAGTTTTGAATATACACATTCAGGAGAGGATCACCAAATACCTGAGATAAGGTTCCTATGTGAATAATAAAGAATAAAACAAATAACAACCACCAAAAAAAAAAAATTAGGGAACAAAAGCATCTTTGAAAACAGGAATTAGGACAATGACCAGAGATGAGGTTACACTGTATGCATGAAATAAGGAATGCCAGAGAATAAAGGATTTAGACATTTTAAAATATAATAAACTGAAAAATATAAATGTTGAAAGAGAAATTTAGATTAGAGCAAAAAATAAAGATAATGAGAGAGAAAATGCATAAAAACTGGATAATTAATTGAGAAAAGCCAACATTTAATTAAGAAATTCAAATACAAAAAAAAGAAGAAAATTACAAAAACAACAACAACAACAACAAACAAACCACACCATAACTACCTTACTAGTAAAGGGCATCAATGTCCAGTTTTAAAAGTTAAACTATTATCTGATGCAACTAATGTAAAATAATCCTTTTTAGGCCATAAAAAAGCCTGCCACAGGAAAAAGAAAATTGTGGCAGGTGGCGCTGGGAAAGACAGGAAGGCCTCATAAGAAACTAGAACACAGGAGTAACTAGGTTCTCCAACGGTGGTATTGGTAGGCAATTCCATACATAAGAAACAAACACAATACAGTTTTCATTACGGGTGTGGGGCCCTCAGTCTAAATTTGTATCAAAGACAGCAAGCTTGCCGTTTTGGAATATTCAAGTCAGGATGATTCTTCATTCTGAGAGGACTGAGTTTAGGGAACCGCTTAAGGACCAAGAAAGGTATTAGGGAGTAGCATCTCTGTAGCTGCATCAAAATGTTTTTCAGTATTTGATCTCCTAATCTTCACTCTCTTCCAATTTAAGCCTCTTTTCACAATTAGTTTACTGACCGATCAGGCACAGGTATATATTTTATAAATCTAAATCTGTACTTCAAAACGATCTTGGAATAAATGCTTATTGAACGCTACTTCTCTATAAAACTGAAAATAGCTTTCTCCACCACAGAAATTGATTTTTACTTCAGATTTTAATTAAAATTGAACTTTTACTAAAATGGAAACCCAGATTAAAAGTCTGGAATTATATGTAATAATAAAGCATGTACATGACCTTAATTACAGTGTTTGTAAACTAAACACTGTGATGTTAAAATTACCGTGTGTGTGTGTGTGTGTGTGTGTGTGTGTATCCAACAAACCTGTATTAAAAGTTTAGTGGAACTACGTAATGAAAGTACTGAAAAAAATGTATAGCTATTTTCAAATTTCAGTCAGCTATTACATTCTTCAGTAAGTGAAAACAGTAAGAATTTGAGGTTTCCAATGAAAGTTCCATTTAGAAAATGCCAGTATTTTCAAATAAAAATTCTCTCCTTTATTTTCAGAAATAAAACATAATTCTACTAAACTCTCAGATCCACATAAAGCAAAACATCTAATAATTTTGATTGAGATTGAAAAGAGTTCTATGCCTGATTCTAACTGGCTAAACCTTTCACAAATCAAAGAAATAGACTGTGTTATTTGGGAGAATTGTTTTTATTCTCTGTTAAAAAAGAACTTGATATTTTAAAATATTAATTCATTTTTATTTTGAAGGCTGAAAAATGAGTAGTTGTTTGCAAGATTATTATTTTCTCTTCATTTGTGCCCAATGAGGTGTCTAGAACACATTTACAAAGTGTTAAATGATATGGTAATTAATGTGTCATGTAACCCTCCCAACCAAAAAGTCTTGCTATGCCTTGATACATGTTTTTCACTCCAAATTATGAGGCAGAACGACTCACATTCTATATTTGAATAGTTTATGCTGTTAATATCTTGTTTGTTCACTGTTCTCCAGGTTTTGAAAATTAATTTGTGTCATATCAGTTTTGGGGATAATAAATGAGGCTTCTGCTAAAAGTTAAAAGAGAATGTAATAATAATATTTCTAGGTATTCATTGTACCCTAAACCTAGGACCAGGTGTAGTGTGAGCAGGTGAAATTCATAGGAAATTAATTATGTTGTTTCAATCAGAATCTACTAACAGGGACATTTTTATGCTAAAATTTTCTTACTAAATGTCATCATAAACAAGAACTGATATTTACTTCTACATGATATCTACAATAAGAAGTACATGAATAATATATAATACATTTGATAATTGAAGAAGGAAAAGTAACTGAACACCAACTCACTCAAGTAAATTAGAAAAATAAATAAAGCCACTTTGAGGGCAAAAAAGAATAGTAGCTAAAATATTTATGACCACATGTCTTTCTATAGCTTAAACCTAAATTTATCTTCTAACAAATGCCTTAATGGCAATGAGTATAATTATGTTTACAAAAATCCCTTAAACTTTAGGGTGAGTGATTAGCACAAACTATATTATAATGACAAACAAAGGAGCATTTCTTCGGTATTCAAAAATGCACATGTGCTTTAAAATATGTCTTCAGATTTTTAGCAATAGAGTCATTTACATAGCCAAAAATAAGTCTCCTAAGTCCATGTACAAATTATACATGCCATTTTAAAAAATCTTTTTACATGCACATAATTATCTCACAGAAGGGGAAGGCAAACTTTGAAACACCAAAAATGAAGTGGACAGGGACACCTGAAGCTAGAGGGGAGTCATGCCATTGTTTTTCCATTAGTTATTGCAGTCTTGTTGAAAACATCGCTATTACTCAAACAACTGAGAGCTTTTACCCAAAACTCTGATACAGGAGATTGGGTTTGGATGTCCTCTCTGGGGAAAGACGATACGAGACGTAGATTTGGAGCTGGGATCCATAAGAAAGCTAAACAAGCAGGTGCCAACACAGGTGAGACCAAAATGATTTTATCTGTTCTGTCCCCATTTTTCTACTAGAATAATTCTTCACAGGATGGCTCATGCATTTCAAAGGACACTTATACCTACCATACCTGCAAGGGGCGAGGCAGGGCCCATGGAGAATGACACTACGGAGCAATAATTTCCTTACTATTTTATGCTATCCTTTGGGGCCACTCAATGTAGTTCAATGACTCCAATAACAAAGTCAAAATCTGGTAATTTATTATTATTTTCTACTTCAGTTTCTTCTTATAGTAAGAAAAAAATCACATTTTCACAACATGATGAAATCTATATAAGTAACAAGTAGAGTTATACTTTGTTTTAACCTCTTTGAGCTATCTAATTCTATTATTCAAAATGCCATAATTGTCAAATTTGAAGTTTTAAAACATAATTTTGAAGTACATTTTAGCAGGCAGATGAATTTTTATAGATAACTTCATGAATACATATATATTTTACGCTATTACATTCACACTAATGGTAGAAATATTATTAATAAATGAAAACAACATACAGTTCAGATATTCAGTCATCAAATCTCATGTCAGAAATTTTTTTTTGCACCACTCAAATTTTAAATACTACATCTTTTACCCCAAGAATTACACTTTGGTGATTTTTCTAAACTAATCCATCTTTCCTAAAGATGCTAACTTTTCCACTCTTTTTGAACATTATTCACAAAAAGAATTTGGCAATGGAAATGTCTTCCCATCCCTACCTTATTAAAAGATAAAAAGTACAATTTGAAGGGAGATAAAAAGCTAATCACGCAGGTGTATTTAAAATCAGCTTGAATTAATCTACACACTTTGAAATCATTGACTCACTTTGAACTCCATGGGAGCGTACTATTTTCCAGGTTTCTGATGCCACTTCTTTGACATCCACTTGATAGTGATGGATAGGTACACCTCCATGGGAATCCGGCTTGTTGAAAGAAATCTTGGCGGTGGTTTGTGACAGCTCTATAATCTTCACTCCATAGGGACTGGATGGTACATCTATGAAGGAACGATCGCAGAGAAAATACAGCCTTAGTAATACAGGTGGTCATTGCGCAGAAGACGTGATGTAGAGTTGGGCACCTGCAACTGTATAACTTTGTGAACCAGCATCACCCCAATCAATTTAATAAAACTGTTAGAGAAAAATATATATTTTTGAAAATTTTTAAATGAATAAATAAATTAATAAAATACGATTAAGAGAAATATGATATAACTTTCTGAAAAAGAGACAGAATTCTGGGTATTAGAAATAAAGGAATGGTATATTGCCTGTACACTGAATAATTTGAATTACAAAGCTTGCATAAACAATGATCCTGATCCTGATCAATTATCCTGAATGATCTGTTTAAATTGCAAGAGAGTATATACCAATCAATCTTTACTACCAGAGCAAATAGTGAAACATTCAATATCAAATTTCATTTATTGAGGGAATAATTTTACTTCTGCCTTTTCTATACAATATAAGCATTTTATTTGCATTCAAAGAAAACAAGCTTGTGACAGAGAGGGGATGGAGAGGGAACATATGCATAATTAGAATATAATAAGATATAGAAGAATTAAAATCATTAGTATAAATAATTACCTCTTGTGAAAATGTGAACTTTGTTTTATTTTTCATTAAAATTATATTGATAATTTTAGGGCAGTTGTTAAGTTTAGAGAAAATGTTATTATGAACTAAATAAAACTGCAAACTGTTTTAATTTCATTTAGGTATTATTTAATTAAAATAAACCTTTAGTTGATATATCTAAGTTTTAATTCCTGAATTTAAAAAGCCACTATAAAATCATTCTTGTGTGTGTTTTTGTTATCAGTCCATTACTCACAGTATTTCAAGCTCAATAAGTTATCCTGAGTGGAAGTTTATTTTCATTTTCTAGTATACAAAACTTTATAAAATGTTATCTGAAAGGCCAAACAAGCAAAAGGAGAAAATTTAGAGATAAGAAAGTCTCAATAAGAAAATTAATAAAATCTCCACTTCTGAAACCTGAAGAATTACAGTAAACATTAAAGGTACCTTTTTCTGTTTCTCAATCTCTCACTGTTTCTTTTCAAAATCACATTCAAAATTATAATAAAGTTTGATAATTTACATGTAATTAAGAAATCAAGAGAAGGCTGAGACTCAGAAGTTCGGCAAAGGAAGTATTAGCAAAGACAACCAGAACAAAGGCGTGTCATTAGGGACCAAGTTTAAAATGATCATTCACGCTCTCTTATGCCCAACCACTGTGTACAGGTATGAAAAATGGGCAGTGAAGAAGACTGATAGGAAAATTATTTGATTTATTTGAAATATAGTGCTGGAGGACAACTCTAAAGATACCCCAAACACCAGAAAATGAGCAGGTGGGTACCACAGCAAATTAAGCCTGAAACATCGCTGGAGGCAAAGATGACAGAATTGAAGTTGTCCTTCTTTGGGAACATCATGAGAAGGCAGCATTCTTCGGAAAAGACAATAATGTTGGGAGAAAAAAGAGCATTAGGAAAAGAGACAGTCCAAATATGAGAGGGATGGATTCCACTAAAAAGCCATAGGCGTGAGCTACAGGAGCTGAGCAGGGCTGGTGAGGACACCGCTCGTTCGCAGGGTCACCTGGAGGTGGAGCTGATTCGATGGCACATAATATGCATTACATATCATATAAGTATATAAATAAATGTTGTTTTACCTCTAGAATTAACTTTACAAAAAGAAAAGGAAAAAAATCTCGATTGAAAATAATACAGTGAATTTCCATTCATATATAATCAAACATTCATATAAAACTTAATGGCTCTCGGAAGTCAAATGTACTGTATTTGCTAGAGTTAAAAGACAGCATGGTAGGTCACATAAAACATGCCTTATAAATGGCCCGGGCGAGCTCCTGGGGGGCAGGTTTATGACATTTTGGGTACAAATGCTGTAAAGAAATGCAACAGTGCATATTTATGCTCTAATTAGTAGCAGTAAATTATTTGAAGATTCTATGAAGTGCATTATGTTAGAACACTGAGGTTTAGAAATAAATTTGTAGAATACTGATGCATCCTAAAGTAGTTTTGCTATCAAAATTATCTGGAAATAAAAAATTTAAATTATTGAAATCATCTATTTAAGCTGTAACATAAATATTATAGTTTTTATGTTTCTTTCATCCCTAAGTTATAACTGTAGCTTCTTTTCATCTGTAAGTTTGATCTAAAGTTTACAGAAGAGGAAAAAATTCACATACATACAGATTGTTTTTAACAAGACTGCCAATTCTTTACCCCATGCCGAGTGACTCCCCAATGTCAACTAGGTTAAAGTAGCTATTGCAACAATGATAATCTTCCGTTTGAAAGATACATTTGCAAAAGAAAGATGCTAATAAATGGAGAAGGAGGGGAAGGTGTAATTCCTCTTGGGCTCATACCTTTGACTACAGGGCTTGTACATGGTCCTTGGTTCTTACACAGTCCACAGAGGTACGCACCATTCGCTAAGCTGTGCACCTCAACGTGGTACACCTATGCAGAAATAATAACGTTTTTTTCTTAGCCCTATGGTTCCATCACCAGCCTTGGGCCAGTGGGTATCTTTTTCTAGCCAGATGGTCTATATTCAGAGTTGCTGGAGGTTACACTGGCTTTTCATGTATATTGATTTTGTGTTGGCCTCATCTTTCTGTTACCTGACTAAAAGGAAAAGTATGCTTATGATTTGCAGACCTAGTATAGTTCCTAAACATGTTTTTACATTCTGATCTGATGACTATTAAATTATTACATATGTACACATGTACATATAACATTGAGAAAAATGACTAGAATGTACTCAGTCCTCAGGAAATATATGATAAGTTAAATATGTATTTGAGTAATTAAAAATATACAAAGATACAGAACACATCCAAATGAATGTCTGATATACTTAGAACTAACACCTACAATTTTTCTCTGCACTTTCTCAATTGTTTTATAATCATATTCCTCCTTGATTCTCTCATATACATTACTATTAGTTTCAAAGTTATTTTCATCTTTCCTGTATCACAATTTTGTATCCATTTCTTCCTTCCTGTTTTCACTGTTAATTCACAAGCCCAGGGCTTATCTGCCTCTGCCTTTAATGCCATTTGTGGCTCTCAGCTTCCTTTTCTATTGGACATCCCACCAAATTTCAATCCATATAGTGCATAAATGCAAAATCAATCTTTCTAAAGTACCACTCTAATCACGTCACTTCCCTGAGTTGGGGTATTCAGGAGCTTCCTCTTTTTTACAACAGCAAACTGAGACTTTTCACTCTGGCTTTCAAGATCTTGAATTATCTAACCTCACTGGGTGTAAGCAAAAAGATAATACTGTAAAAGACTATCAAACGTAGCCCCGTGTTTCAAATGGGGCTTGTGGTTACTAAATTTCAAACACAATGCTTCCATCGTTGTTAGCGTAAATTTCTAAATTGCTTAGCACCTTCCAATCTCAATAATTAATGAATGTTACCACTCATCACTGAATGAATAAACAGAAGAATTGTGAAAATATGTATTTCTTTGTTTACTTTTCTTTTCACTTCTGCTAGTACCAATACAGAGTTGGATGAAGAGCCTGGATATGTATCATCAGAATGTAGGAATCCAAAGTTTACCCTTGCTCCGTTAGTCAACTTAAAACACCAGGAACGAGTTCCTTAATCTTTCAACCATTTCTGTCTCTAAACTGGAGATTAGAATAGCATCCACTTCTAGAGTTGCTCTGAGTATCAAGTACTATAAAAGTCATAAAAGAAAACCTGAAATACACTAACTACTTAGTAAATGTTAGTCATTACAGTTTTTGCCATCCCTCCCTGATAACCATGCTCCTTCAATTACATAATTTTATATCCATTGAAATAAGTCAATGTGCTAGTCAAATTGTAGGTAATGAATAAGAATATTGAGGTTTAGCTTAGAAATGTATGCTTGTCACAGGACCAATCTATGAAGTTGTTTTATGACCCTGTACAAATTAAACTCATTTGGTCTCAATTTCCTTATAAGCCAAATGGTAACAATACTACCAACATTAAAGTTACTTTTGTGAGGATAAGTTGATGGATAAAAATCAATGGGCATTCACAAATATCTTCAATTATCCTTTCTTTAAATAGGCAGTCAGTGTATAAATAATGTTGATCAATATTTTGATAGTTATATCTATGCATGAATTCACTGTTTGATCAAAGTATAAATGTGAAAACATAAAAATTCTGCTTTGGTGATTATTTTATCTGGTTAGGGGTAGAGGAACAATGCTCTGAGTGGTCATCTTATTTCTAGTAAGATTTTACATATATTTTCTTATGTAAATCATGACTTAATCTTATCTTATAGGCACTGGCAACATATCTAAAACCCTATTAATTCATTCTTCTTTCACTATCCCTGTAGGTTTCTCCAATCACCAAATTTAAATAATTATTTTATTGATCTTTTCTCAACATATGATCACTTGTTTAAAAAAATTCTCCTTACAAGTAGTTATACTCTCTGAATAATATTTTTAATTTTATTTGTTCATATACTTCTATTTCTGCCAATTAAAGCACTCCAGAAATATGTCTTGAGTATATCATTTTTACCTCTAATATTGTCCAATAAAGTGCAGTTTAGTATAAATGGAAATTATTTCCTCATAACATATCCAAGTCTTGACCTTCTCAGACATTATGGACTTCAGTATCTCATTATTAATGGAGCATATCAACTATGACTAATAAGCAAATCAAATAAAACACACTGACTATACATTCAATAATTCATCTAAATCTCCTATGAGCCAGGCAATTTTTTGTGTTCTGGGATAAACATAAAACAACAATCATTCCTCTTATTAAAGTTATATTCTAATTCTTAACAAGAAATGTAATATACAAATTATTTATTATTAAGACTGGTCAAAATTTAATCCTCGAAGATCAATTATTTTAGGTGAAAATAAAAAAAATAGTTCGTGTGTTGTAATTTTTAAATAGGTGGACTAGAGTATCATTGTTAAAAAAGTGGTGGCTGACCAAGGACTTAAAGAAAAATAAAATGACTCAAATAAAAAGTCGCCCGAGGGGCCCTGCTGAGGGGGTCGGGGGACTGGATGAAAATGTTGAAGGGATTAAAAGGTACAAATTTGTAGTTACAAAACAGTCATGGGATATACATTCTAGCTTAAGGAATATAGTGAATAATATTATAATAACTATGCATTGTGCCAGGTAGGTACTGGAAATATTGGGGGGAACACTTTGTAAAGTATATGATTGTCTAACCACTATGCTGTACACCTGAAACTCACACAAAATAATAAACTGTGATTAAATAATAAAATTAAAATCATAATACATTCTGTTTTGTGTATCCATAAATTATTGAACTTTAAAAATACGTATTAGGGAAAGAAAATAGTAAATACAAAGAGGAGATAGGCTTTGAGCATTTAAAGAAGGCCGGTCTGGGAAGAGTGCTCCTGTCTGAAATAGCAAAGATTATTTTAGGATATCTGAGTTTACCTTTACATACTTTGGGTTAGGTAGCGAAACGTGGAAATTGGCTTTGCTGAAATCAGTCTTTACAATGCTACCAAGATAGTTGTTCATGATAACTGGATCTTGCTGCTTTATGACGAAAAACTCCCAACTTCCCTTGCTGTATACTTGATACGAAAGAATGTAAACCTGATGAATGTTTTTAAGATCTATGCCTTGATCTCTCACTACTTCTGTATTCATATCACCACCACTAACCCTTTCACACAATATCGCCCTCCAGTCCTCCATTAAAAGCCTCATCTCTTCCTCACCGACTTCTTTTCACAGTATGGTACATTTGCACAGTCACCTTGACTTTTTCCATCTTTGCTTTTCTTCATCACTAAGCCTGGTTCTACTCATTCTTGCAGACTCAACTCAAAAGTTGATACCTACCTTGAGGGGAAAACTATGTAAAGTATATTATTGTCTATTAAGAGCCACGAAGCTGTACACTTGAAACCAATATAAAATAAAATTGAAAGAAAAAAAGTTGATACTCTTTGAAGTTTTTCCCAAGAAATCCAATCAGAATTGCATTTTATGTCCCGAGGCATATGATCCACACTTTTGTTCAAACTCTTTTCCTTTTTACTTTTATTTGTAAAGATAAGGTGCCATATAATATTCATCTTCAAATTTCCTAACTCCAAAACAGTGCCTGGCACCTATGAGAAACTTACTGTATAAATGCAGAGTGAGCCAATTAACAGATTGGTAGGAACTGATGAAATCATAGATTCCTGGAAAATAATATTTGGCTATTCTAATTCCCTTTTTTTTCCGAGGACCTTGGGGATTATGAAATTAAGGGGATGCCATAGTTTCTGAAAACATACAGAATTTGCCTTATAGTTTCGGGAAAAAAAGAATGAGACATAGACTTTTCCAAACTAAATAACAAAACTGATCATGTAAAAGAAACCTGGTTTTCTATTCAGTTGAAGAAATTGTTTACAAATGAACTATGTTTAACCTGCTTTCAAATTTTATGGAGCAAGTATGTGGATAAAATGCGGTCTGGGTACAAGGACAAGTAGATGTACTAACATTCCATATCTACAAAATTTTGTTCAATTGACCCAGCTTAACCTCTAAGCAGGTCACCATTCTCAAAAATGAATTGTATAGGCTTATCCATGACTTAGGTGAAAATACCGATGACTGCTTCATGATATTTGTGGATTAAATCAATCTTGAAAAGAGAGCTAAAACATTGAATTTGACAGGGTCTTCGTAGGTTAAAAAGATGAGCTCAAACTGACAAGATGAGATTAAATGGGCTAAGTGCAGAGTCCTGAACCGAGGTTTAAAAAAATCAATTGTGAAGCATAGCACTTAATAACAGTTTTTGTTGAAAAGAGATAGAACAAAACACTAGAAGGAAAACAAAAGTGACAAAATGAAGTGCAATTTTCTGTTACTTAACACAAATATAGTGTTCAGAATAAGTAAGGTCATTAAACCATTATTCAATTTTATTACACATTGATCTACAATGCCTCGATGTATGTTTTATATTTAAGAGACATCAACAAACTGACTCCTTTCCCAAAGAGAGGTGACCAATATGAACTGTAATTTGGCTGTAACAGTGGCTAGCTAACATTTGTTGACCACATGCCACGTGCTGTTGCTTTAAGTGCTCTTCCTCACTTAATCCTCACTGCACTCTCACCAGGTAGATAGGGGACTGGCTAGCAGCACCGAAGCCCCCCTTAGGCGGGGGCCCTCTCCCCAGTCAGTGCTGGATGCATTGGCCACTGAGAGTCAACAGCACAGTCCCTACCCTAAAACTGCCCAGGAAAAGGTGCCTTTATCAGCAAAGGGCATCAGTTAAAGAAGTAAAGATCAGATCACCATATTAAGGTTTAATAAGAGTTTACAATTACAAGTTGACTATGACAACAATGAAATAAATTAAAAAAGTTAAAAAATTATGAATAAAATCATTTGATAAAGTTTAGAAGTTTAAGTCTTTTAAGAACAACTTCTTAAAAATACATGCATAAATATACAGAATGCCTTCTCAGATCATGATCTATTAGAAGTAGAAAATTATAAGGAAGGAATTATAATTGTTAATTATAAGCTTGCAATTTAATTTACCTTTGTGTGTTTTACATTTTTAATTTTCTCCAAGATATATATTTAAATAAAAAGTATATTTCCTCGCTACACAATACGACTATCAACTATGAGGTGCACTAGAAAAGAATTATGATAAAGCATTTTTAAAAATCTCTCTGTCTTTGCTCTCCCTTTGTATCTAATTATACCTGCATTTCACATTTTGATAAAAAGTTAATGTAAAAATGGTTATCAAATATAAATGCAAATTATCTTATTTTCCATAAAATTTTATAAACATATTTATAAATGTTGATGATTTAAATGTATGCCTTTCATCTAAGTCTCAGTGTCTAATATTTTCTCTATCATTTTAACAAATGTCAGTTGAGTTGCCACTTTCTAAAAACAAAATTTTACCCTGTATTTGTCATAAAATTTTGAAATCTTGAGAATTGCATTATGCAAAAAATATTTCCAACAACACTATAACTCTTAGCTTGAATGCATATTTTTTATTTTTTATTGCTGGAAAGAGGGATACTCACCAATTCCTTATCTGCATTAAAAGATAGGTATCAAATATATTTTTCATAAGAAGTGCTATAGTAAGTGATATGCAACAGAGGGTGCACAGAAATTCAGTATTTTCAGGGTATCTAATAAGATTGTTTAAATATCATCAATATAATGTTCCTTTTACATTTTTTCTAGAATTATAAACTCTTAAAAACTATTAAAATAGATTTTAGTCATTTATCAAGTTTTAACTAAATAAATAGGACACTGCATCATTGTATAAAAAGGTATATATATAATAGTGTATTAGTATTAATATGTTATATATATACATGTTGATTATATATCTAATCATTTATAAAAATTTTACCTTAATTGCAATAAAATTTGCTTAATTTCCTAAGTTTCAGAACTAAAATGAGTAGTAAATATTTCTTATCAATACAAATAATACTTCAACTTATTATCAACGAATTTTGATGTAACAACACAATTCATTTTCCTAAAATTGAATTTGCTTGTATAATGTTTTCTTTCATATGCCTAAATGCAGTCTTTTGTCCATATTTTCACTGAGATTAATTTTCCAATGATTTCATGGTAGACAATAAATATTAGTTTATTTCCTTCCTTTCTCCCTACTTACCTCCCTCTCTTCCTCTCTCCCTCTCTCTTTTCCTCTCATCTCAACTAACTCTAATTTTTTGCCTTCTGGCTTTCTTCCCTAAAACTCTTTAACTATCCATTCTTTCCCTTTTTCCCCACAGTCGTAAAACTTAAATTGGACAATAACAAGTTTAATAGTTACATAATAATTTTAGTATTATGAGCTTTAATTTATTTGACCTTTACTACTAATGATATTACTTTTGTAAATGTACTTTCATAGTAATAAAATACTTTTCATAACTTGATATAAAATTATAGTTATGTATAAAAACTCTACTTAGAAAATGTTTTAAGATGTTTTCCTGGAAGCTATTTATTAGTAAACATAACATTTCAGTGATTTTTCTAATATTGGTCTACCTAGTGTTAGAAGGTAATATATCACATTTTTGCATCATCTGGGCTGAACAAAATATAAACCATATATATTTCCAAATTTCTAGTCAGTATTGTATAACATAATGGCAAATCCTATAAATATATGTGTGTTTGTGTGTGTGTGTGTGTGTGTGTGTGTATTACATAGACAATATAAGTAACAAATCATAGCTGGATTCCTAATTAAAATAAATTTTACTCTACATGCTCTTTCTATATCTTTAAACTCCAGAGGAAGAACAAAAATATTTTATATATAAAAATGAGACTTTTTAAAGTTATATAACCATACATTTTCTATTTGCCTTAAAAATAAGTTTACTATCTGTACTTTCAAATTTAAAATTTTAAAATATATTCATTTAACTTTCTTCCAAGGTGTCTTTAATTTTTAATTTTTGACAGCATTCTTAAGATACTTGAAATATAATTTGATTTCTTAAGCTATGCTTCCTGTTTCCTTCATAGATATCCCACTTACAAATTTGAGGACATTGGAATTAGGGTTTAAAATCAGTTTCAATAAGTAAATAGATTCTGTGTCCTCACTACATGTCCAAAACGACTATTCCAAATTTCTAAGTTCTGAATCACTTTTAGATAATAATCTGAATCATGACTTATTAAAATGTAAAGGCTATTTGCTTATGGAAATATTTTATGAGATTTCAGAAATTATTGTGCTATACTTACCAGCCAAAGCAAGAATATATTCTTGAAATCTTGTTCCTATACGATTAGTGGCTGTGCAATTATAGCGTCCAAAGTCATTGTCAGATGTAGGTGCAATCTAAAATAATTACAATAATAAAATTTTTACAACTTTAAAACAATATCAGAGAAGTTTTAAAATAGAATCTAGCATGCTTACCATCTTCACATATGTTTAATTATTCAAAATCCCTTGACATAACTTTGCTTTCCTATATCAAGGGAATATACTAAGGAATACAAATCTTATTAACATATAATCCATTAAATTATACTATTCACAGGATCAGGTAAATATAGGTCATATATCAAAAGATTAAGTAAATTAATGTCATTATTTTGTTTGTATCTGTTGAGTAAAAACATCATTAGATATTTATATGTGTAAAACTCAGAAAGTAGCAGACAGTTTGAAAAATATATATTTTGCAATCACTGAAGATATGTACTTGAAAACAGGAAACTTGCCCCAAAAGTACTAATTTGTTTATTCTGTTTTAACCTAACATCAGGCAGAATTAAAGTTCAAGAAAGGCACAAAATATGTCAGATCTCTTCCTCTTACAATATAACTTAACATAAAATATTACTGAAGGATTAAGATTCATTCTTAGGCCCTGACGAGGTGGCTCAGTGGGTTAAGTATCATTCCACAAACCAAAGTGTCATCGGTTCAATTACCCATCAGGGCACATCCCCGGGTTGCCCGCCAGATTCCTGGTTGGGGACGTGCGAGAGACAGCCAATTGATGTTTCTCTTGCACATCCATGCTTTTCTCTCTCTCTCCCCCTTCCCTCTTTCTAAAAAATAAATAAATAAAATCTTTATAAAAAACTTTCCCGGAAGGCATTTTTCAGGAACACACTGTCCTCGTGTAGCAATCCCTGTAGACAGGCATGTTATCTTGGTATCTATTAACAGCATGTCTCCATTTCTGTTCAATTCCTATCATTCTCTTTCATTTTAGGTAGAACATAGCTGACCTCAATCCTTACACATTTGAAATCCATAATTAAGTTAACCTTCTGGGACTCTATTGCTGAACACTGGGACCAACCCTGTAATTCCAATGTACTGAAATTCTGAAGTATCAATTCAGAAAAGAGGTTTGATGAGAGTAATAGATATAATTTTCAATCCCAGTAACTATTATTAAGAGAGAATATGCTTACAACAAGAGTTGATGTTAATTTCAACTCTACCCCAAAAGGAGGAAAGCAATTTTGTGGTAATGGACAGCTATTAGCTAAAAGTGCAATTTTGATGTCCATTGAAGATGGTAATTCTGAAAGAGTATAAAAAAAGCTGTGTCATTCATTATGGTTTGCTGTCCATCTAGGGACACAGCATAGATTTAAGGATTAGAAGTTTTAACAGCTCTTATATAAATACTCCTAAGCTATTAAATATTCATTTTTCTTACAGCCAGCTTTTAATAAATGAGACTAATTTAATTCTAAAATATTTTTACTAGTGAGAAAGGAATTTGACAAAAAAGAAGTCCTTATTGTCCAGGTATATGAGAAAGGTATTTGTAAATTCCATAAGGAAGAATATGTACTAAATCGATGTAACGCAGAGTCAAAACAGTCATAACAAAGTATTGTCAGTATTGCACCCTTTTCTCAAGATTAATAAAGTGATTCATACATATCCACTGTTATTGGAACAATTTTTTAAAGACTCATTTTTTAAAATTTCCCTTTTGGTGTTCACATATGAAAGATAAGAGTTGTATGACTAAATCATAAATAAATAATTCTTTTATTATGTATGATTAACAAATACAGAAACTACCCCTAGTAGAGCAGATTAGAAAAAAATAAAAACCCACAGATCTAGGCATAACCAGGCCAAACCATGTGCCCAGCAGCATATTTGCTGTATTGTAGGAAAGTAATATGCAAGTAAAGTCCCGCAGTGGGTTTATACCCGATCCTAGCACAATAAATTAAAGGTAAGTTTTATCAAAATATCAAATAATGTATAAACGTGGTATACAATAGAGCATGAATTTAAAGATATTTAAATGTTTTACATGTGCAAATGAGTGCTGATATTTATCCAGGGAGTGCTAGGAGCATCTACTTAAAACATACTTGTACATATTTTAATATGCAATTAAAATAATTCCAGTTTACTTGGGATGTTGGGCTTTGTTAAAGTAGAATACATCAACAAATATAGTTTTAAATATAAAACTGAAAGATGAGAGTATAATGTTATTCAAAAAGCTTGCTAACCTTTCTCCTAAACTTCAAAACTAGATTTTTTCTTTCTATGTATTCCATGGTAAGAAAAGCATTTATGTAACAACATCTTTACTTAGGGCAAGGAACAACAACACAGGTGATTCAATGGAGAATATTATTCCAATCATCCTATTAGAAACTTACTGCATCAGTTTTTGTCCATGTATTGAAAATCTGTCTTATCTCAAGGGAGTACTCAGGAAAATTTAAAATAAAAATAGTTTGGATAACCTTCAGAGATGCATTTATGAGCAATGATGCAAAGGAGTTATATATTTTTTAAATACTTTAAAATTTATACATTTAAAAGCTCAAATATATATTTAATCAAAGAAAAGGAAAAATCTTTAAAATCAATTTAAGAAATTTATTATTGACCATTTTATTATTAATTGTAAACTTGATTTTTTCTACATTTTATTATATGTTCTTAACCATTAACAATTATGCTATTATAATAATTATTACGCAAAAAGTAATAATAATGTACTATCCTAACAATTATGTATGCTAGTCATGCAAATTTAGTACTTATTATTGCTTTACTTGTTGTATTATAGTTTTGTTTTATCTACTTTTTAAGTTGTTTTAGTTACACATTTTTATTATTTATTCATGTTTAAATTTAATTATTAAAAATAATGAACACAAAAATGTATATTCTCAAAGTTAATGCTTCAACAAACAGATCACCTAGCTGAATGTAAAGTAAACAAAAATTGCTTAGTTTTCACTTTGGGGAGCAGAGGAAATGTGATTTAGGGAGAAGATTAAGTAACATGGAGCCTTATATGAATTAAATATTTAAATGTCAGATTTATCAACAACATGTTGCTTGACATTGATGATGGAGAATTATGAGCTGTCCTGAAAATGAAAAGCAGCAAGATAAAATAAAGCAAAATTACAGATTTGTCTGTTATTTAAACATGAACTTAAATCTACCTGTTACGGACTGACTTGTGTCCCCTCACTAAACTTAAACGTTGACTTCTAACGTGACTATGGTTGTAGATGGGGTGTTTAAGGAGACTCAGAGGAAAGGCCAGGTGAGTGCATAGCCAGAGGGAACAATATGTAAACCAAGGTGAGAGGTTCCACCATAATTCATTGATTTTATTTTTATCTTGGACTTCCATGATCTAGAAATGTGTCAGGGTGAAAAAATGTTTCTGTTTTTTAAGCCACCCAGTCTGTGGTATTTTGTTTTGGCAGCCAGAGCACACTAATACATTACCTACCCAAAAGCAGTTAAAATGCAACATTGGATTTTAACTGTGGTTAAATTCCTAAAATCTAGGCTAAATCTGACCAGATGTCTTTGTGAAATTGACCTTCGTGTCAATCTGCCAACGGCTGGTACTAGCAGAATTACAAAGAAACTAGTTTAAATTAATTTAGATGAAGTGACTTGTTTATCAGTCAGTTATCAAAATGTTTGAGAAAGTGATTGCTAAACCCTTTTATCAGCCAAATGTTTTACTAAATCCAACTGCCAGGTGGAAGGGTTAATATGACACCAATGAGAACACAGTTAAGTCCATGCAGTTCAGATTATCTGATGGTATTCTAAAATATACAGTTTTTTAAAGTTAGTGCTGTATGCTTATTTAGTGTCTGCACTAGGTTTGGCATCAACATGGTGACTCCCGAGGAGCCTATGACAATTGGGTTGCCAAAAGAACGGTGCCTAGGGCCCAGGTCGGGAAGGAAAGGCAATGGAGTAATGTAAAATGAATTAATGTGAAAATGTAGCATCTATTCAGCTAAATAAGACTGTTGTATGGAAGATCATTCCCAATTGTTCTGAAAGGATCATAACTTGGAAGGGCTGATGATCATGGTCATAGACATAAAAACTTTGAAAACTGATACACACACATCATCTGCAATGAATAAATAAAAGGTATTGTATTCAAACAGAATTTAAAGGCCAGTTACCTGGCAGTCCAAAACAATTATCTGCTCTCTTAACTACAAAAATAAAATGAAAGGAGGCACTGAGCAAGTAAATCTGGTTTCTTTAGGAATCTGTGCACATACAGCCAGCATACAGCTCTTAAATATGCTAATCTAAGGAGAAGGGTGTGCTGCCACAGAGTCAACATTGACATTGAAATTCTGGCTTCAAGAGCTGACAAACCACGTCCCTACTTTCTTCTCACAGAATTGTTTTTATTTTCCAAAAATAAACTCATGAAAAGTAATGGCTTTTGCCATACACCCATATTTCCTCATAAATAGTGAGACCTTCAACATTAATTAGCCATAATCCAAATACATAAAATTTCCCTTTAAGTAAATAAATATGAAATGTACAAAATAAGTTTATATGTTATATAATATAAACAGATTTTATTATATTTATATATTAAGATCTTTAAACATATTCTAAAATAGTTGATAGTGGCTAAAATATTACAATTTATGGGTATGTACATGAAGACTTACCTCTAATATCATCTTTCTCCCTGCACTATATGTCTTTAAATTAGTGGTATTTTTAGCTGGCAAGACTAATTTCTCTCTTCTCCAATGGACTGATGCTGGTGGATTAGATTTCACATCACAGCTTATGTTGATTGGATTTCCTTCCCAAGAGTAATAAATTGTTTGGTTTGATACGAACTTGGGAGCATCTGTAAAACAATATAATAGAACATTTATAAACCTTTCCTTTAACATGACCATTTAATTAGTATAAACAATAGTTACTTGACTACAAAAAGGAGCCACAACAATTCTAATGTCATATATTTAATGTGTGACATCAGAACTCATGAAAATAGGTCATTTGTTTATCAGATTATTTGAATATCAATATTAAAATGTTCAAAGTTTACCAAGTATTAAAATATGCAACAACCTTCAGAGTTAAATTTGCTCTTAATATTTTGACAAAAATATCCATCCAGTAAATTAATGGCTAGATAGATATTAAGAATGTGTTTCTGAAACAACCATTATTGTAAAGTGATAGTATAAAACTTAACAAAATCAGTGTCTCATATCATTTTTAAATCTTGCCTTAGTCATATAAATTCTTTAAAAATACTTTGAAGCTGATCCCAAAAATATCATTTTCCATTTTTATTAAACCAGAGATGATTTACTTTAGTTAATAACAGTTAACTTGAAATTTAATTGTTTCTATGATAATCAATATTCACACCCTTACACCAGAACTCTACAATTAAAATTATGAGAAAATAGATGATATATTTTATCATTTCATTGAAATAATGTAATTGCATAGACACTCAAACATGCATCTTAGTCTTGTTCTGCTCTAGAAATCTGACATAGTGCAAATGTCAATTAATCACAACCTCTTTAAGTATCAATACCTTGACCGTATAATATTTGAGAAAATTCATTATTTTATTTCATTTTAATTTTTCCATTAGTCTGTCTTTTTTTTATATTTTATTTTTTATTTTGAGATAAGTGTAGATTCACATGCCGTTGTAAGAAATAGTACAGAAAGATCCCCTGGACCTTTTACCCAGCTTTCCTCAATGGAAACATCTTGCAAAACTATAGCCCACTATCACATTCAGGATATCAACAAAGATACAGTTTCCCAATCTGAAGCAGGTTTCCCCAGTTTTATATGTATTCACTTGTGTGTGTCTTTTTTATTCCATACAACTTTATCATGTGTATAGGTTTGTGTATCCACCACCTCGGTCAAGATACAGAAAAGTTCCAACACTACAAGGCTCCCCCAAGTTGCTCCTTCATAAGCACACCTACACACCTGCTAGCCCAGAACGCTTTTGGTTTTATTTTATTTTTTTATTTTTTATTTTTATTTATTTATTTTTTTAATTTATTTTTTCAAATACACTTGTCTCTGCCTACCCCCCACCACTTTCCCTTGCGCCCTCCCTTCTTCCCTCCCTCAGCTCTTCTCCTTTGGTTTTGTCCCTGAGTCCTTGCTATATGTTCCTTGACTTTCCCCTTCCCTTCCTTTCCCCCCGCCCCTCCTCCCTCCTTCCCTCTTGTCTCTGTTGATTTCTTTTCCTTTCAGTGTTGCTGGTCTTATTTTCCTTGCATCTTTGTACTGTTGGTTAGGTTCCGCTTATAGGTGAGATCATATGGTATTTGTCTTTCGCCGCCTGGCTTATTTTGCTTAGCATAATGCTCTCCAGTTCCATCCATACGGTCGCAAAGTTTAGTAGTTCTTTTTTTCTTTCTGCTGCATAGTATTCCATTGTGTATATGTACCATTACTTTTTGATCCATTCATCTACTGATGGGCATTTAGGTTGCTTCCAACACTTGGCTATTGTAAATTGTGCTGCTATGAACATTGGGGTGCATAGGTTCTTTTGAATTGGCGTTTTGGTATTCTTAGGGTATAGTCCCAGCAGGGGAATCACTGGATCAAAAGGCAGTTGCATTTTCAGCTTTTTGAAGAAATTCCACACTGCTTTCCACAGTGGCTGCACCAGTTTGCATTCCCACCAACAGTGGACTAGGGTTCCCTTTTCTCCACAGCCTCGCCAGCACCTGTTGTTGGTTGATTTATTTATCATGGCCATTCTGACCGGTGTGAGGTGGTACCTCATGGTGGTTTTGATCTGCATTTCTCTGATGGCTAGGGATGCTGAACATCCTTTCAAATGCCTCTGGGCCCTCTGTATCTCCTCCTTGGAAAAGCGTCTGCCCAGGTCCTTTGACCATTTTTTGATTGGATCGTTTGTCTTCTTGGAGTGGAGTTGAGTCAGTTCTTTATATATCTTGGAGATAGTCTGTCTTTACATAAAAACAATCCTAAATTAAGTGGTAGCTAAAATATTGTTGGTGTATAAACTGATTACTGTTGTTACTAATATTAATAGAACTTAATATCACTCATAAATTGTCAATTTGAGTTTGCTTAGAGATAACCTGCACCATTTTGTTGTATCAACAGATTATACATCAGTATATAACATATACATTATAATCTGTAGAACTAATGATCAAGTAATCATTGAAAGTGTCTTGTTCTATGTATGATTTATTGCATGTTTTTAATGCCAATCTCACACAGAAGAATGAAGCATTGATTAAATGCTTTCTATGACAGTAAGTTTTTACATTTTATTTTATTTAATCTTTTTACTAACCTTGTGAGGAAAGTGTTATCCTGTTTTAAGCAAGAAAGATTTGAATTAAGAGCTATCAAACTTATTCTAGTAATAAATTGTATGCCTGGGATGGAATCTAGGGTGATTTTAACCAGGCTCTATTATATTTCCATTCAATCCAGAATCAAAATTTTAATTTTCAGTGCTAGCAACATTTTGGTGGTGTGGACCCTATCATATATTGTTGACAGAGGTAAAATTAATGCAATTCTTCAGGGGGATAAAGCATCTTAAAATCTCTATAATCTCAATTCTGTAATTGAGTCCTGGGTACCTTTTCAAAGAGAATAAATTAAGATATTCTCAAAGGCTTCTGAAACGATTATTTAATGCATTGTTATCTTAATGACAAACACTCAAAATAACTTAATGTCCCTCAAAATCTGATTAGCTAAATAAATAACGATGCATCTTGGCACCTAAGTGCACTACATATTTCATAGACATATTTGCCTATGGTTTTCCCTCAGCGTGTGATGTAGCTGTCCTCCTCTTCACCTGGCTGCCTTCAAAGCTCAGCTCCCTGTTCCTAAACATTGCCTTTCCATAGCCATTGATGGTGGGTCAGATTCCCTGCTTTGTGCTCCCACAGATTCCATGTGCTTCCTCAGCATAGAAAGAGCCATCGGAAGGATCTATTTGATTGCTTCTCCACCAAACAATCTGGGTCTTATGGATTAAGCCATGTCTTGCTCATAATTATATTCTTGATGGCTTACATAGTGTAAAATGCTTACTTTGTTCTAAAAAACTGTATACCAAATTTACTGGAAATTAGACAATTTTCAATTCAACAGTTTAGTTAAATTGAACAGGTGTTTTCAAGGAGTATAGAAAAAACTTTTTTAGAGCCTTGAAAATTAATTGGAAAACCTAAGAATATGTAAAAACTTAGGGGAGTAACTGTAAGAGAAACTGATTCTCTGATATTCAAAGTAAACAGCTAAGCTTCTAGCTATGTCTACGTGTGCCTATAAAAGATTTTACTACTGCTTAATATATACAAATATCTTTAGCATTATAATATTCTAGGGAGAGCTTATTAATAATTCATTTGCATAAAATATAGCCCTGTATGAAAATCGCACATGCTAATTTAACTCTTAATAGCTGACTCACAGTCTACTCTGTCCACAATATGGCATCTGTGTGTATATGTATTAGATTATTATAATGTAACCATAAATTTAAGGCAGTTTTTTTTTTAATAAAAGCAAGCAATTGCCACTAATTGCTTGCCTATGATCTCAGTGGGAATTTAATTCCGAATTACTGATGCTGAATGCAAATGTGCTACGGGCTATACATGTCACATTGAAAGCCACATTAAAAATGTATTTGTAGGGTGAGGCAAGAAAAATATTGATATTTTACATCTACAGTAAAGCAGGAACTAGATTCCTGTACATTAAATGTTTTATAAATATCAAAACACTAGCAGGAAAGCAATTTTCCCTGGTACAAGATGGGCAGGTACTGTCATCAAACAACAGGGATTGGATCACTGTTTAAAGAAGGATGTGGCTCTGGGAAAGGCACCAGGCCAGGATTTAAGGCTAAGAAACTTGGAGCCGTATTTCACTTTGATAAATCAAAATTTGCAACTTTAACAAAATTGGACTTTTCTAGAAAAGTAGGCTTTTTGCATTAGAAAAGGCTTCAAATGTTGTACAGAAGAAATAAACTTTAAAAAAAGGAAAGTCGTGGGAGAGAGGAATATGGAATAGGCAGAACTGAGGAAATATGAGAATTTATATGGGGTGGTGGCGGGTGGGTGGGTGGGTGGGTGTGTGGGTGTGTGCGCGCTTGCGTGTGCTGATTTGTCTATATATCTATCTGTCTGTCTTTCTGTCTACCTGTCTATGAAAACAAAAAAGTAAGCAAGAAAAAATCTTCACCTTGAAGTTGCTTCCTTTGCTTAGGTTTTGTGTCTGTTTCTTATACATGGAGGACAGTAATTCATGAACTATAGAGTTAAGGAATACAAAATTATGGAAACATCCCTAATTTGCCTTAATTAGGCAAAATTAGTTAAATGTTCCCCATATTCTATTGAAGTCCAAGTTAAATTATTATTTTAAAAATTACAATAAATAGAAATAACTATTAAAAGAACAAATTTTTATTTAAGCAGAGTACAGAAGGAAAATCAGATAAATCTCAATAATTATATGATAGAAATACAGGGGTGGGAAAAAGTAGGTTTACAGTGGTAAGGACACAAAAACAGAGTTTATTCTTGTATTATTATTAATCATTGTATTAATTTCCATATGAAAAACTGTAAACCTACTTTTGCCCAATCCTGTATGTCATCTACTGGAAGAGTGGATAGGAAGGAAGAGATAACCTTCAGAAAAGTGTCTGGTCACAATGAGAAGCCAGGAAAGTGGGATATACATCCTCTTTGATGAAACTGTAGTCAGACTATGATATGGTTTTGTTTTGATGGCGGGGGACGGCGTGGAGTGGAAGGGCCATGCATTGTCCTCAGGCCTTTG